ACATTGGCCGTCCTTACTAATGCTAACAATGGCCGTCCTTACTAATGCTAACATTAGCCCTCCTTACTAATGCTTGCATTAGCCGTCCTTACTAATGCTAACATTAGCCCTCCTTACTAATGCCAACATTGGCCGTCCTTACTAATGCTTGCATTGGCCGTACTTACTGGCCGTACTTTTTTTTTGCACCAATCTGTTTTTAGGCAAATGCGAGTAAAATGCTCGTAATGTACATTCCTGTTAAGAGTCTGCTGCTACTGAACTCAGTTTTATTATAATAAACAGTAAAACCCCTTTGAAGGCAGGATGGTAATCTGTTTTCAGGAGGACTTTCTCACCTAAATAAAACAGATTCAAACTACTTTTTACCCGCTGATCACAGCAAATATAGCTGCCATTGTTCCAGGCAAAGAAAGGATAGGGTAGCTCCGCCCAACACGCATCAGACCCACTTTACCACCGCGCAGCTAGAGCAGCAAAGATGCTTCAGCCATTTTAAACGGTTCTGCTGTCTGAAAGTAGCATTAGATGCCATCAGCCTGCAGGAGCTGGGGAGTACCTGCGCTCTGAGCCTCCCCTCCTAAGGACAGGGACCCCACGATGGCCGGGTAGAGGATTAGGTGGGGGGAGTCCTGGGCCACCCGGCACAGCAGGCTGCAGATGCTCTGTCTGATGTAGGCCTCCGGATGGTTGAGACGCGAGAACAGCTGAGGGATGATGCCTGGGGAGGATGAAGAGGATGATGAGGCTCCGACATGAAGGGTTCACTGCTCCATGGCTGCAGTACTTACGCCTCCAGGGGGCGGTGGGGGTGGAGGCCAAGCCCAGCTCCAGCCCCTCCCTCAGCTCTCCAGCGTGCTTTACCAGCAGCCGGAGGAGACGCAGCGTCGCCATCACGATGACATCGTCGTTGCTCTGTTTGCCTCCCTGGCAGGACAGCAGCAGCTTTGGGTCGTTCTCGTCAACATGAACCTAAAAAGGAAACAATGGCGGTAAACCCGGGCAGAACCAGCACCCGGGTCCAGAACCTTCACTAACCGCCGGGTCTCACCTGTCCTGCATTCAGCTTGAGGAAGGTGAAATAGGCGTGGCAGGAGACACGGTACAGCCCGAAGATCCGGTCCACCACCCTCCTCCAGACCCCAATCAGTCCGTCTGTGACGTGCTGGCCTGCATCTCCGAGCCAGGGGCACGAGGCGGTGAGCTGCCGCCAGATCACGTCCACCATGTCGTCCTCGTCATCCTCCTGCTGCAGAGCCATGTCCTCGTCCTGTTGGAGCAGACGGAACGGAGGAATGGGTCGACGCCACAGGAGTCCGACTTCCGTTTCTATATTCAACTAACCCGACAGAAGGTCAGAGGAGCTGCTGAAGGATAGATTCCTCATAAATCCATATTTCATTCGTAAAGTCGTAGGGAAGCTGCCGTTCCAATCGTTGCAGTTCTGAATTCTCCCAGTGGTGCCGACTTTACACGAGTGAATACAGTGAATGTGATTGGTCAATTATCAAGGGGGCAGGATTGTTGTGGCAGAAGGTTCGCAACCAAGTTTGGTTGTGGCCGGTTTGTCAGAAGCATCTTGCTAACCAGTTAGCAACTTAGTGCTAGCAGGTTCCCAATGGGAAATTCCATTGGGACCAAGTAGCACTAAATTGGTGACTTAGAAACGACGCTGTCAAGGAACGCTATGGACAGCGGAAACATGCAAGAGGAGGAGAGTTTAGTGTCGGAGGTCGTGGATGAGTCTCCTCCGTCATCCATTTTTTATTTAGAGGAGGAAAGCGGGGATGAAGATGTTGTGGAAGAGGACGCCAGGGCGGCAGAAGCTTGGTTTGGTGTAGAAGGCTTCCAGTCGTCCATGTTTGAGCCCTTGCCTCGCAACGCTGCCAGTTCTGTTAGCTCTACGCCTGCCGAAGACACAGACGTCCATCCCCGTGAACACTGGGACGCAACTCCATGGGAAAGGAAAGGATTCTGATTTCAACCGCTGCGTATATTAGCTGCGACATATGAATCACGATGCTATGACCGAAAACATGTGATTGACAGATGAGTGTTGATATATGATTGGCCGAATTTAGGTGTTCAGGCTGACGTAGAACTAACTGGCCTGCAGAAGATAACGGAAAAAACACTATTGTTTAAAAATGTTCTATCTTTTGGGACAATATGGTCTGATAAAGAGTACATTTATATACACGTTTAAGCCAGAATTTGACATTTAAATATGATTTCCCTACGGCTTTACTTTTGTACAAATCAAATGAGAAACTATATGTGGTTTTCTATTTGAACTTTAATCCCTGCTGCAGCCAGACTCCACAACGCAACAATAATAACTTATGCAATGCATAATGTGCAACTACTAGTTGATACCCTATGCAATAACTATATATATATATAAATATCCATCTATATCCTGACACAGCCCAACTGGGATAAACTGGTACTTTATCATCAGTAGAGCGCGGGTTAGTTCCGGCTCAGTTCGGAGATAAAGAGCACACACGGTGCGCCTACTACAAAATTGTAGGTGGCCACAGACAGCGCTGCGAACAGGAGGCCTCTGATTGGTCAAATCTACATCTGCTCTACACTGTGCGTATTTCCTGTTTGGTACGACTGGTGAAGATGGAGCAGCTAGCAGAGCGAGGTGCGTGAGAACGCTTGGACCCTTTTCCACCTGGATCCCCGCTCTTTTTGGCCCTCATGTCCCTCCGTTGTTGCTCAAACTTGCCCCCCCTTCCTCACCGCCTCGGCCGTACCTCTAATCGATGCATCACTCCTGCCAGAAGATAACTGGTTTACCTGAATCCCAGTGGGTCGACACATGGCCTGTCCCAGGATGCTGAAAATGGTTTCTTTGTCTTCTTCACTGGTGCTCGCTGGCAGCAGGTCCTCTATGTCCTTCTTTTCCTCTGGAAGCAGCGGCAGACCCTCCCCCTGACTGAGAGAGAGACAGAGAGCAGGCTGAGTGCTGCTTGATTCTTTAAGCAGTGGTAGGTCCCTGCAGAGCCTCCTCTGCTCCCAGCTCTTGTAACGTGGCAGATAAAGGGTGGAAGGAGGAAGACAGAGGAGCCGCAGATTCAAGCAGTATTTAGAATAAATGGATTGTTGTTGGGCTGAAGCTGAATCTGAACACTAATCTGTTATTTTGCCTTTAGATGAGCTCTTTGAAGACGGCTCTTGTTGGTGTTCAAGTATTGTTGATAATATCTGAAGGTTTTCTCCCAATGTTTAGCACTTAACGATAACGGGCTGCCCTGGAGGGGCCTTCTACCGGCCCCCGGAGGCCCCCTCTAAACGCCCGCATGCGAGGCGCCCTCTACCCACCTATGCCCATTTTCTGGGGGAACTATGGCAAACTATGATGAAATCACTGCTAGCTGCGTGGCTAACCAGCGGTGCTGTAGAGGGCCGCACTGGATTAACGCCGTGATTTCATCATCTGTCAGACGCGCGCTTCAAAACACTCCAAGCCGCTTCTTGTAATTGCAATCATCCATTTATTCCATTTGGCCTTCATTGACTTTAGATTGACTGACACATACTGACCAGGCTAAACCAGCCTATGATGCCGACAATAAAGCGACAATACGGCACGGTCAACAGAAACTACGACCACCATCGGCGCACCCGCTTCCTCATTCGTATAAAACTCAGCGCGCCAGAATGACTCCCATTCATACCTTAGTGACACTGAGCCCACCTTAGACACACCCACCACCCAGGTGTCAAAGCCGTGTGCTGCTGCCACATTAGTAATTGCTTATTTTGCTCATATGGCTCTTAAAGTGGATGTGTACACCTTAAAATAAATCTAATATAGATTTTTAAATGCTGTATTGTATGCTATTATTTGTATTAAAAATAAATCCGTAGAGTTAGAATGTTTTACTACACAGGTTCTAAGTTTAGTTACAGTAATTGATTGATTCCCCCCAAACATTTCCTGCAGACCACCTTTTCACATTTATGACAAACGTAATATGAGCGTTTCTTTGTGAAGCGCTGAAGCTCCTGGCGCCGTTTTCTGTGCTTCGCCAAAGCTGCTCTACTGCGGGGGAGGGGCTGGAAACCTGCGGGCTGTTTTACCAGTTCAAGGATAAAATCTCTGCGTGAAAAAGTGACCTTCAAACAGGTCCTGAACAAAACCAACGTGTTTATAGCTGACATTTCCAGGAGATCATAAATTACAGCCACAGGCCGCCTTCGTGTCGCAGCTTTTAGAGAATCCTTTCTAATCATCTGATAAGACACACCCACTCTACCTGAGTGTTAGGTTAGGGTTAGGGTTTCTAAAGCCTGTTTCGCTGTTAGGTTTCTTCTGAAAGCTGTTTTTCCATATTAGCCAAAGAGTTCTAGGTGGAATGTTGGTTGCTAGGCAACGGGAGTGAACATCTTTACAATGCCACTAATAGAGCCGTTAAAATGACGGCTGTGGGAGATCAAAGTAAAATTAACCATATTTATTTTTTACCGTTTTATTTTTTAAAGCTACGTGAAAATGAAGGAAATCTAGAAACAGAAAAAGTTAATTAACATGAGCAACATCAGATTAATTTTAAATATAGTTCTTTCCCTTTAAAATCTCAGAACCGTCAAAATGACGGCTGTGGGAGTTCTAACGTTAACGATTAATCGATTACTAAATTAGTTGATTATTTCAATAATGGATTAATCTGATTGTTTCAGCCCTAAAGCAAACAGGGCGCTGCTGTTGGACCAGAGTAGAGAGACGAGGTCAGAGGTCAGAGCAGCGTGTAGACGTTCCTCCAGGACGCCGTTCACTCACCTGGCGTTATCCACCACCTTCCTGCCCCAGCGGTAGGCCCAGCTGGCCAGAGCTGCCCAGGACTTGGCCATCTCTGGAGCCAGGCTGGTGGACAGCTGGTAGAGCTGGCCCAGCACGAAGTCTGCCTCCCCCACTCCTACGTTGACTGGAAACAGAGACAGCAGGTAGTTAGACTCTGGGGGGGGGGTCCTAACAGTAAACCTGCAGAGCCGTCTGACCGGAGGTGACCACGGTGATGTGGGGGACGCTCTGGTCTTCCAGAGGAAGCTCCAGCAGCTGGCTGATGTTCTGGCTCAGAGGGGACATGTTGACCGCAGCGGAAGAGTTTACAGCTCCGGACTTCTTCACCACCTGAAACAAACAGTTGATTAAACGGCGTCCGGAAGGATCCGGATGGACGGCGGAGCGAAGCTTGCCTGTTTCAGCTGAGGAGTCATGTCCTTCCAGTCGGCCAGCAGCCATTTGCAGAGAGTCAGCAGAGAGCGGCAGGCCGCTCCTTCGTTCTTCCCCAGCTGGCAGTAGGACAGGGCCGCACTGCTCAGCATCTCCATGGCAACCACCGACTGGCCTGCAGACGACAAACCGTTCAGACGGAGCTCAGAGACACGACACAGCGCTCCCACACCTGGACTGCACCTGCTTTAGGGATCTACCTGCTGCTGCCGCTGCAGACTGAGGCATGATTCAGCCACTAACCCTCCTGCTGCTGTCACACCTCAGCTACACCGACTACCATCAGGAGGTTTCTCACCTCCACCGCTGCCGCCATTTGAAACCCCGAAACATGGAAGGACTTCCAAGGATGGCCGGATTTAAAAACTTTCCGTTGCCATGAATTGGTATTTTTAATTTTGGGAGCAGCGGCTTCAGAGAGATTAGACCTCCCAGCCATCTGGAGGGAAACATCTGAGCCACCAAACCTGCAGAGGAAACCAAACCCATCCGACAGACTTTCATATCCCAAACTCTTCCTCAGTGAGGAGGAAACGTTTCTCTGCATGTCTGGGGCTCAAAACGGTAATAAAAATGGTTAAAAAAAAAAAAAAGAAATCAAGACAACTGAGACGATTCACTTCATCTTTCTGACCGGATGGGGGAGAACCGTTTATTTACAAGTCAGATTCCAACATGCTGTACTCCAGCTTACATTGGTATTTCCCCCGAAACTGCCTGAACCGTCTCAGCTGTATTTATTAGTGGTGGACCGATACCAGCGGCGGTTCCACGATCCAGCACCGGCAGGGAGGGCAATGATGCCAGTTTGAGAGCCAAAAGTTTCTTCAACTATTGTCACCCATTCCATCCATCCATCCATCTTCCTCCGCTTATCCGGGGTGGGGTCGCAGGGGCAGCAGCCTAAGAAGGGAGGCCCAGACTTCCCTCTCCCCAGCCACTTCTTCCAGCTCTTCAGGAGGAACCCCAAGGCGTTCCCAGGCCAGCCGAGAAACATACTCTCTCCAGCGTGTCCTGGGTCTCCCTCTGGGCCTCCCCCCGGTGGGATGTGCCTGGAACACCTCACCAGGGAGACGTCCAGGAGGCATCCTAACCAGATGACCGAGCTCCTCACCCCATCTCTAAGGGAGAGCCCAGCCACCCTACGGAGGAAACCCATTTCGGCCGCTTGTATCCGCAATCTCGTTCTTTCGGTCATGATCCAGAGTTCATGACCATAGATGAGGGTAGGAACGTAGATCGACCGGTAAATCGAGAGCTTCGCTTTTTGACTCAGCTCTCTCTTCACCACGACGGACCGGTACAG